CCTACGACATCAGGAAAGAGCGGCAGAGTCCCAGTCCAGCGTCGAGGGGCGAGCCGTCACTAGCCCACTGTGGGCGTGGGGGAGGCGTAACTAGCCCGGCTAGTAGCGGTGGCGGCGGCGTTCAGGTCAGCGTCAGCAGCGGCAGCGTCACGCCCCTCGCTGCCACCGCCGCCCAGCCGCCGCCCCCTACGCCCGTCTCTATCAACAGCGACCCGCCCACAGACTACACCAGTGACGACGACGATATTGGTTTCTCCGCTTCAACCACCGCCCTCAACCTGTCCACCACCTCCACCACAGTGGTCACCAGCGCCACGCCCACGACACTCCACATACCCCCGAGGCCCCAGTCCCCCGTGGGCGGACCCAACACCCCTGGTAAGAGATCGTGGAACCCAATCAATATGGGTACCTCGCTCATCAACCCGGTGACGGGCAAGAAACGGGTGCAGTGCAACGTCTGTCTCAAGACTTTCTGTGACAAGGGGGCTCTCAAAATACACTTCTCGGCCGTACACCTGCGGGAGATGCACAAGTGCACGGTCGAGGGCTGCAACATGATGTTCAGTTCACGCCGGTCTAGAAATCGACACTCCGCTAATCCTAACCCTAAGTTACATACGCCGCACGTCCGACGTAAGATTTCGCCGCACGACGGCCGCACTTGCGCCGCGCATCCTGTAGTAGGGCCGCATCTAGGGCCCCAGGGGTTCCAGCCCCCTGCCGGGTTTCCACCAATTGGCGCCTTCCCGGGTCAGTTCAGTGGCATCAATCCCCTCACAGGCCTGCCCTTCATCCCTCCTTCTGCAGCAGCTACTGAAGACCTGCACAAGCAGGCGCTGGAGCTGCAGCGACGCACGCTGGAGATGCAACACGCCATGGGCAAGACCTCGCTCGACCTGACGATGCGGGGCCGAGAGGACGGACCTCCCTGGAGGTGCGACTATGGCAACTTCAACACGTCGTTGACGCACGGCGACGACGGCATGTCGGGAGACAAGCAGCACGATGGCGGGGATGGCAAGCGAGGGAGAGGTGACGACGACTACCATGCTAACAACAGCCTCGACGACGAAATGGACGACGACAGCATGAGTGTAGACACCCAGAGCATGAAGGGCGAGGGACCCGGAGCCTCGCCATCAGCCAACAAGCGGAAACGCAAGAGTCAAAACCCAACGAAATTTGCCTTCAGACTAGAAGATGACGATCTCATATCAACAGACGACGACGATGATGACGACAACGATGACGATCTAGACGACATAGACGCAAAAGACTCTGAGGATGAAAAAAATGAAGACAAGGAATTAGATGCCATGAGTGACGACGACGACGACACAAATGGCGGCATGAAGGACAGCTCCTCCATGAACTCTGGCGACAAATCAAAACACGACAAAGATTCTGATGGCAGCAACCGGAAAGTCTCCTCCAGTAGCTTCGACGAGCCGGTCGAGACGTCTAATGCGTTGCGGCACCTCGAGGACCTCTCCAAGGGTCACTTCGCTCACCTCTCTGGCGCGATGCCCCCAAACGCATCGGCGTCACTTGGCCTCCAGATGGCGCCCTCCGGCAATGGCGTCACATCCTCGAGTCCCAGGCCAAGTGACCGTGACAGCGACCGGGACTCGAACCCTGGATCCCCATCAGAAGATTCCGAAGGAGCTTTTCAATTTGGCGAGGGTGGATTTCTGAGTAGCTTGGACATCCCAATAGACAAGGAGAACCCGCGGCGCTGCATTGCGTGCGGTAAGATGTTCCAGAACCACTTTGGCGTCAAGACGCACTACCAGAATGTTCACCTGAAGCTCATGCACAAGTGCACGGTGGAGGGCTGCAACGCCGCCTTCCCCTCCAAACGGAGCCGTGACCGCCACGCCTCGAACCTCAATCTTCACCGGAAGTTACTCTCCACCTCCTCGGATGGTCCGGGCTTCCCGGCCATGACCTTCCCGGGGTTGCCCTTCAACCCCGCCCTCAACCCGGAGCTGCTGGCACGCCTCTACTCTGACCCTGGCACCCTTCCGCTTGGCCTCGAAGCCCTCAAGGCGCACATTCCCACGTCCCTCGCAGAGTCCCTCTTCAATGGCGACCGTGGCACGGGCGGCGGCGCTGGTGGCGTTAATGGCGGCGGCGGCCTGCCACCTGCGGCACATCCACCTCCACACTTCTTCCTCCCTAACCTTCTCCCTCATTTTACTGCTAATAATAACCTACCGGGGTCGGAACGGAAAGATCGCTCCAGCACCCCCTCGCCGCAGTCGACGACACCCACCACGACCACCACCACGGCGCCGCCTGCCACAGACATGCCCTCCTCCCCCCCTCCCATGGAGTCCTCCGCCCCCACCACCACCTCCAATAACAACACCACCAGCAGCACCACCAGCGAGGACATGGAGCGGGACTGGGTGTATAACCTCGAGGACGACCTTCCCACGCCGGACCGCGACGGTAACATGCCCTGCAAGTTCTGTCACAAGGCCTTTGAGGACGGAGTCGGCCTCAAGAGTCACTACGACGAGGTTCATGGCTCTGAGCTTTTCCGATGCACAGTGGACGGCTGCAACAAGCTCTTCAGTGCCCGCCGCAAGCGGAACGCCCACTCCCTCAACGACGCCCTTCACCAGCACTTACTGGAGGGTGCGACGGCGGCGAGGACGACCTGATGTCTTGGTCAGCTCCTCCAGTTGTGGCAGCTGCCCCGTGCGTCGGCCACCCGACCTCCCCCCTCTGTATAAATGTATAAATGTGCCAATGTTTCACGTCTTATTTATACGTAGTGGTGTTAGAGTGCCCAGTGTTGCCCGCGTGTACATAGCGGTGGCTCCAGCTGCCCAGGACCCAGGCGGCTCAGTGTAGTGGCTCAGCAGCTGCTTGTTTGGCGCCTCGTGCTGCACCTTTGCTAGGACAATGGTGCACTTTCCAGGGTTAGTGCGCTCTCTAGGGGCAGTGCGCTCTCAAGGGGGCAATGTGCTCCTCAGGACAAGTGTAACTTTTAAGGCCACTGAGCCCCATAACCGACACTGAGATCCCTGCCAGTGACTGCTTTTCGCAGTACCCAAGAAGAGGGTGCACCCCCAAACTCTCCCTGGAGGTGCCAAGGTGTCACCAGAGCGCCAAGACTGAGTTTGTGCTACTTGTGTATGGTCACCCAGAGGTGCTGTGAGCCATCTTAACGCTGAACAACTTAGAGCTGCATTAATGTTCTCAGGATTCTTTGTGAATCGTTTTGCATACCAACAGTTTGGTATCCAAGAGTCAGTGTTCAACTTCATTGTGCATTTGTATTTGAAACTTTTTTTTTTTGGTTCATATTGCTGTAAATGTCGGTTTTATACTGTGACTCGCTCTGTCATCTGTGTAAATGGTGCTATATTTTAGTTGGCACATCCATGTCTCCATTTACGTACAATTTTGGTTAATAA